AAAAAAACAAAACAAAACAGTGTAATAGCCCTTAAGTACGTTTTTTCAAATTCCTCTGAGAAACTACTGAACACACAGTTTGTATATAGTTTCGGTGACCACATGCCTAATAAAGCCTGCACACCCAAAGACCCTGGGTAAAGAAATCCTAGAGTCGGGCCAGGGAGGTAGCTCAGTGGAATAAATGGTTGCCCCGCAAAGCACAAGGTTCTGAGTTCAATCCCCTGGTCCACCAAAAGAAAAAACAAAAAACAAAAATAGTCCTAGTATAAAAAAGAAAAAGAAGGTTGTCACAGATACAGTCCTCCAATGTAAAAAGAGTAACGATCACCTACTGATTAGGACACACACTACATTCATCATATTTACCAACAAAACAAAAAATCTTGAATGGCTTTCTGGAATGAGGATATGGAAGTTCTGGAATAAAAAACATTTAATAGTAAACAAAGAGCATGATGAAAACCCACACGCAAACACTCAGTCTAGCTCACTCTTTCTCTGTTGAGCTGGAATCATGCTTTACACATAACTTTTCCCAACATGAAACAGAGAAATGGCGGTGAAGGCAGAAGCGAGGCAGCAGTGTGGCAGGCAGTGGTAACTCTTACTTTGCAGTCCATTCTGCAGAGCTTTCCTTCCTGAACAGTCAGATCTCCAGGAGCCTGAAGGAAGTGAGGTCTGAAGAATCGCTCCTGAATGGGCTCGCTCTCATCCGCACTGTCCCTCGATCGAGAGCGGGGCCTGGAGACAGGATGCAACAGGTGGGTGAAACGACAGGTGCAAGCGAGTTCCAGGACTTCAGCCATGTCCTCTTGTAATATAAGGGGCTACTGATCCAACTTCCTTTTCTGATACCTGCCCCCAAGATTTACATACCACAAAGGCAAACCCTTGTTTAATTTCCAAGTGTATGATAAACACACTAGTTTGCAAACCTCAAACAAATATTAATCACAAAGGAGAAGAGTAAAAGGGGGTTTATTACATGTTTTTTTTTTTTTTTTTCCCTTAACTACTTTAAAGCCTTATGGTAGATTTAGGGCCAGCTTTTGCTCATTAGTTTATTATCAATTTTTTTTTTTTGTAGCAGAAATTGCTATGGTGATTTTAATTTTGCAGGGAAGTACTCATTTTTATTTTATAAAAAGATGATATTGAACAAAAATTCCTTTTCAGACTAAGAAGACAAATTACATTTTTAGGCAAGCTTCCTTTTGCATTGGTTATCCATATGCCTACAGGCATTGTTTTAGCTTTAAGGTAAGACTGTGCCAATCTCTCAGATTGTGTGTGTTTCTTTTGCTGTCAGAGAAATCCAACTTCATGTAGTAGCAGGGAAGACTTAGGGAATGGGAGGGGGCTGGAGAGAAGCTCTGTCAGCTTTGATTCTGGAAAACGCAAGGCTGGGACAACTGGGACAAACAAAGCCTGGTGCATTAGGGTAACAGTGTTTTACGTAGTTCTCTTTTCTCGCAATGCAGGTCTAGTTTATGACAGAAGTGCTTTGTAGGCCTCACTGATACATGGAAAAGCTTAAATGTATTGGACTGTAAGAAAAGTAAAAGCGAAAAACACTTTCTTACAGCTCCAAGACAATGGAGCTAATACTAGACTTCTGTGTTTATAGCCACAGACGCAGGTTTAGAGTCCCGGAATAGATACTGCCACAGTAAGTTTAGAATCAAATCTGCACACCCGCAGGCGCGTGGCACCCAGATGCCTCTGGACCTCAGCCCGCGAGGCAGGACAGACGCAGCTTGCTGCGTACTCCATTTTCCTGCTCCGGCTCTACGAGCTGGTGTTTCTCTTCAATAAACGCAGGGTGCACCTGCGCTCTGTGAATTACAGTCAGGACTCTCTCAGGCTGCTCTGTCTGTAAAGTGTCTCAGTAGGAAGCCAGATCGATAGACTGGCTTCATATTCTTTTGTTTTTTTTAAGTGCAAATATGTTACTAAGAAGCAGCATCCTTCTCCCCATCCGCCATTATTCCGTCATCACTCTTCACAGACTTGGGCTACCAGGAAGGGAAAGTACGCTCCACAGTTAGCAGACACTTGTTCAAGCATTTAAAATACAACAACTCTTACCTATAAGATTTATGATCTAATAGTCTTATGTTCTTTAGTTTTTTGGCGGAACCGGGGATTGAACTCAGGCCCTTGTGCTTGCCAGGGAAGCACTTATTCTACTGAGCCATCTCCCTGGCCCTAGTCTTATGTTCTGAATCATCCTTTTTTTTTTTTTTTCCCAGTGCAGGGTCTCACTATGCAGCTCAGACTCTTAGTGAGCTTCTTGATTCCTGCCTCCCTAGTGCTGGGTTTACAGGTGTGCACCACCACACCCAGACTCTATCGCCAGCTCAGCACTGGGTGTGGCATACCGTTCCAGGGATCGAATCCTGGCCCCTGCACTTACCTAGGCAAGTGCTTAGACCGCTGAGCTGTATTGCCAGCCCTGAATTATCCGAATTTAAAAGTGTACATTAACAAACTAGTTGAGGTTAAGAAATTTAGTGGTGATCATTATTAACAGTCTGTTGGTTAGAGATTGGTGCAATTTTGATTATTTGTGTATCATCTATATATGTTTTCATGTTTAGGCGCCATCTAAAGGGGCTGAGTTATTTCTTATTTCTTCCTATAGAATGTGCTCTGCTTTGAAAACTAATGATGATGGGCTGGTGAGATGGCTCAGTGGTCTAAAGCACATACCTAGAACAAGCTAAGCAAAGCACAGGGACCACGGTTCAATCCCCCAGCACCACATGCCAGCCAGCCCCGCTCCCTGGTGGGCTGAGCTGGCCACACACACACACACACACACACACACACACACAAATAAATAAAAAATTAAAAAAAGAAAAAAAAAAGAAAGAAAACTAATGATATATCTGAATGGGCTCAGCACATACTAGCACATGGTTTTTCCCTTGCATTTTCTAAACTGCAAAGGGCATAGTAAAGAACACACACTATGAAGTTTGTTTTTCTATTCTCTTCCACTTACTGCTATATTTACTGTCATGCTATGATTGTAGTAGCAATGAATTCACAGTGATAAGAAAGTTGTAACACCTATGGAAGGAACATCTGAAATACCTCCTGACATGTGGATGGCCCGAGGGAGAGCGCGGACTGCGGCCTCTTTGGTTGACAGCCTGGACCATTAGCCGTCCGGTGCAGCTGACACGGCCCTGTAGGAGAGAGGAGCAACAAAATGACTTGCCGTGCAGCACTGTTAGCCAGCAGGCCTGCTGTCCTACTCTGCGAGAGTTCACCTCATTACAAAGCAGTGTGCTGTTGGTGAGAAAATCCACCCCTCTCGGAGAAGCACTTCCCTGAGCTAACTCTCAGTAAAGCTGCATTTCCTTGAAGCCAGGCAGGAAGTCCTTCTCTGAATGCTAAATAAGCTGTTCTGCTCTATTCAGGATGCTTCTCCTGAGTGAACCGAGGTCCGCTAAGGCCTCCCCCGGTCAGGCTGGCTTGTGAAGTGCAGCAGGAGGACCTTATTCTCTTGTGACTATTCTATTTCCACGGTCAAACATTTACTAGTGTTAGTGAATTGTGAAATCAAGTCTAGGTGTTCTTAGTTTTCTGTTAGATGTTTTTAGTAATATATTTGTTAAGTGCTAGTGATGGCCCTTCCCCAGAATATATATTTAGGAATGGGCTCTGTGACAGAATGAGCATTATTTAAGAAATATATACATGGGATGCCAAAGAGGATATCACAGGCCATGGAGATAGCTCAGTGGTCTAAGCACCTGCTTGGGCAAGAGCAAGGACCCGGGTTTGATCCCCAGCACTACATGCTGTGCCAGCCCCGTCATGGGCATGGCAGGCTGGCCACCAAGACTGGGTGTGGTGGCACATGCTGTAATGCCAACACGGGGAGGCTGAAACAGGAAGATCACTACAAGTCCAAGCTGCACAGTGAAACCCTGTACCAAATACATAAAATTAAAATCAGAGATCATCACAACTAAATGACATGAAATCCTCGTGAAATGAACATGTGTGCAATTTAAGAACCAGAAGCAGTTAAATTCTAAAATAGGTGGCCATGCGGCAAGAGTCTACCTGATGAAGGGGCTGGTGAGATGGCTCAGTGGTCTAAAGCACCTACTTAGAACAAGTTTAGCTAAAGCACAGGGAGTGCGGTTCAATCCCCAGCACCAGATGCCCCCTGGCGGGCTGAACTGGCCATACACACACACACACACACACACACACACACACACACACAATTTAAAAAAAAAAAAAAAAAAAGAGTCTACCTGATGAAGTTATATTTTATCTCATGAAATTTACCAATTCAATATTTGCTAGTACGGACAGACAAACCTAGTACTTAGGGAACCCAGATGACATGGATAAATCGCCCAGCAGTGCTCTGGCTTTTTATTTCAGCTACTCCTTTTAATTTTTTTCATCACTATTACTAGTGAGTAGCAAAACTAGATTTTTCTCATCTATTTTGCATCTTCTCTTTCAAGAGAATAAGAATCTATACTTCTAAATTCTAATGCTGTCCAAAAAATAACAAAAGAAGAGGACAAATGAGCACATACAACATTAATGATTAGACTTTTCGTGAATTCTAGGATTGATGAGCAGCCCTTGTGTGCACTTAATTCAAAATAAAATTTTATGATTGGTTTCCTTCATGGCAGGTGACTGAGGCAATAGGAGGGGTGAAAATGCAACCTTGGAGTGTGCTTTGAAAAACTTTTCCAGTTGAGGTTGGCTGAGGTGGCAAGAGGGTGCGCTCAGGTTAGGGGAAGATAGCAGGTTATCCTAGCAAAACACCTTCTAGTAGGGCCCCACGGAGGGCTGGAATCCAGCAGCCTTTTGCAGGTCTGCCAAAGGCTGGACTTCATTAGGGCTATAGTCAGCCGGACAAGGAGGGTTTATAGGAAAGTTACACAGAACTGGAGGTCACACTTAAAATATTAACTGCCCTCAAAATTTCCATAGAAAAATAAATGCAATAAGATGAAAAATACTTATTTCTAAATTAGATTGATTTTATCTGAAGCGCAGACCCTATGACACAGATTTGTGGATGCCGAGCTCTTGGAAAATACTTGGAATTTCCAAAACACTCAGTACGAAAGGCAGAGTCAGTGGGAAGTAGATTCACCTTTTTAACTTCTGCTAAGCAGAGTCGCAGTCCCTGGGCCGAGAGGCCAGAGACAGGGATCTTCCTTAACTACCTGACTATGCTGAGGTTATGCCCCGCCTCCTGCTGCTTTTTCAAGCAAACACACACACACACACACCCCCAGAGTGTACATATTAGCATACTACTAAGGAGAGATTACTCATTTCTACACGTTTGATATACATACTGATAAAGACTTTCCTTAACCTTCCAAATTTAAGAAAAAGGAATGTGTTGCCATTCGTAGTCTGTGTACTCCCATACCAGCCCCCACTCCTGAACATCGGGAGAGACGGCATTATTAATTCAATTAATATTATGTTAGTGACCAACATATTATTAACCAATACATGATCAGGAGCATTTAGAAAGTATCCAAATTAGGAAGTTATTCTGACTTTTTTTTTTTTTTTTTTGGTGGTACCGGGGATCAAACTCAGGCCTTTGTGCTTGCCGGGCAGACGCTTATGCCGCCAAGCCGTATTCCCAGGGTATAATTTTCATATTTTTATTTGACAAAAACCCCTAGAAGTCAGTGAAGCAGTTTTGAAGATGTCTTCAGTGTTCAGATTTTTAAGTCTGAACATTTTATTTAGATCAATGGTACAGAATTAGCGCTACATGATTTTAACCTCACTGCACGCCAGTTAACCCTAGCAATCATCACAATCAGCAGGCCCTAGATACACATTACTGTGGTTACGTTAGCTTCTGATGTCCCAATTTCTATGTTTCACTAACAATAAAATAATAACAGATGTCTCTCTTTAAAGTGAGGCGTGAAGTAAGCCAGGAGATTATACACTGTTAAAACACAAGCAACAAGCAGGCAAGGGGGCACCTGCCTGCGATCTCAACACTTGGGTGGCTGAGGCAGGAGGATCATTCTGAGTTCCAGCCTGAACTGCACAGTGACACCCTGTTTCAAAAAGACAAGAAACAGAGAAGAAGAAGAAAAAAAAAACCTCAAAACCCACTATCAACAAGTAATTTTCTGCATTTAACTCAGTCCTGTTACTTTTTTTCTATTCTGGCAGATCCACGTAGTTTAAAGCTGTAGCACAAATAAGAAGTTTGAGCTGTTAAACGTACTCTATGTTAAAGAGTCAGCTTAGTAAAGATTATTTGGTGCCTCACGCAAGGCCTATTATTCGTGTAATGTGAAAATAACATTTATGTTTCATGGTTTATGGGTTGAACTTGCGGCAGGCACACAGGTCTGTATAAAGCTTGCCATTTGTCTACATAATGCAACTTGAAGCAACATCAAACTGCAGAGTAGCTATGCCAAAACCCAAGTGCATCACAAAGTAACTTAGCAACACAGCAAAACAAAGTGAAACATTTGTGTTTAGCTTTAGTTGTGTCCTAAAGATAGGATTAGAGTCTAAAATAAACTGTTCTTGTGATCCTCATTTTGGCATTCTGTCTAGTGCGAGACTACAGTCACTCGCTATTTTGCTGAACTACGTGACAACTTTGGTCTCTAATGAATCGAGCTGCACACACTCTGTGCAACCCCCAGTCCCGTGTGTTTGGAGCCGTGAGTTCTAGCCCAAGCAGAATCTGGATGGGATCAACACGACCTAACTTGTTTCTTTTTTCCCCAAAAGATTAACCCAGGTGGAGAAATATCACGTTCTATGGACTATTCTGCCGAACCACAGGGCCTGCCTTTCCTTGGCTGCTTCTGTAATCATTTTGCTCTGCTCAGGAAAGCGCTGCCTGCTGTGTTTCATTCCTGAACTCGTTCTCCGCTCCAGCCTTTTCCTTTTTCCCTTGTTCTTTTCCCGTTCTACAGGCTGCAGTGCATTAGGGAAAATAGATGCAGTCATCCCCCTTTTAAAACCAAGTACATTTACAAGTTGAGAAAGTTTAATGGAATAACTAGACAAACATAGGCACATCCGGTTTTCAGTCAAATATATGCTTTTGAGATTAATGTATTGTGGGATTTAGCTTCTTTGATTTCTTACACGCTTCTTTATGATCTATTAAATCATGTTTTAATTCACAAATAACAAGAGTAACAAAATACTTCAATTTTTTTTTCTTTATTTTGGTGGAACTGGGGATTGAACTCAGGCCCTTGCGCTTGCCAGGGAAGCGCTTATTCCACTGAGCTATCTCCCTGGCCAGAAAAGGCAGAAGGATATTTTTTTTTTTCTCCGAATGCCTTCAGGGCAGGTTTGACTGGCTTGAGTTGTGGGGATTGAACCACAGCAACCTGAGCCTGACCGCTTTATTGGAGCAGCCACTTAAAGAACTGAGCTAAGGGGCAGGCCCCCAATACTTCAAAATATGACAACACGTTATAAGGCTGAAATTATGACATTAAACATCTCTTTTGTGACATTCCTACAGCCACAAATAACTTATGCCAAAGGTTAGAATCATGGCCTACCCCTTGTCCTGTTCTAAATGCCATTCTTTTTTAATGAGTAGGAAAGTTCATTCCAACACCTAGACGTTGCCTCACAAATCCTCCATCTGCATGTCTGGGCGTACCAACTGCTGAGGACCCCAAGGAGAAAGCAGCTTTGGAATTACAAATCAACAAGGCATCATGTTCACAAACTTGGGATAGTGATTACTAAATGGCATAAATGTCACACTATTTCAGTGGGTCTGCACAGCTACACATTCTGAGGCCGGATGTCCATTCTTAAGGGTTTCCATAGCCTCTTTTCATGAGTTTCCCCTTCTGGTTATTCGGATAAGAAAGGAGATGCCTAGCACCACCTCTTAATCAAAAGGTAGGGCGTAAAGACCTTTGGAATTCTAGGCCTCAGACGCTGCCATGACGATGATGCCTTCTGGCATCTGAATTGTGGCTCTTTCTGGCAGACTCTGAGTACTCTTACTGCCACTTACTCCCGTCATCTGAGGGACATCCTGTTGGGGCGGCTGGCCTGTGGGCTCTCTGGTGGAGACTGGTCTGCTGTTCACACCTCTGTTCTGCCCCCAAAGGATACAAGGCAAGCCTAGAGGGCTGAGGTGGGAGCTTCACTGAGATCCAGGAAAGCAGAATTACTGGGGCTATGAGTGAATGCAGTTTCAGCTTCTCTGGGGTCTTCTCTCGGCCTTGAGGGTGCTGGGAGCAAAGAGCCCCTTCTAGGTTTCCTGTGTGGCCGTGTCAGCTGCGCTGAGGGTGTGGCTGCTCTCTAGCTTACAGCTCCTCCACCCAAGCCCACAGCTGTGGCACTGTGGCACAGCCACATCTGCTGCCTCACTCCTTTCCTATGAGGGTAATAAAAGGGAAAAGCCAGGAGCCGGAGACCACACACTAGCAGCATGTTGATGGACTTGCTTACGTTTGCAGAGCTGTGGGAGGGGAAACCTGGGAAGGGAACTGATCCTGTAGGTCGTGTCTGCACAGGTCAAGTCTTGGGACTGCTGTTCTGCGATGAGGTAACCAGTGTCGGTGAATTAGAGTAAAGCCAAAGATGAGCATTTGTGGAAAGTATATGGGTGCGAGGTGAGATGAGTGTTTTACATGTACTCTTTAAATCCGTATTATCTCCATTTTGTAGAAGAGGAAACAGGCATGGCCAGGTGAAGGGGCTTGTGCGAGGTCACACAGGTATCAGTGGCAGAGCTGGAATTCTAACTCATGTGCCTGACATAGAGGCACAAACTCCCTGTGTTCCTCTGTCCGTCCATCCCTCCGTCCGTCCGTCCTTCCTTCCCTTCTTTTGTTCGTCTGTCCCTCCCTCCTTCCTCCCTCTTCTTTCTTTCCCTCGCTCTTTTTCCAAAGTTTACAAAAGAGGATCTTTTGCTGGGGTGAGGGCTTATATACAGAGATCTGGGTAGGAGTGGCAGGAGTACAGTGAGTTTAAATTTACTTTTAATTGGCAAATTGTAATTGGTTATGATTACAATGTGATGTTACACACACACACACACACACACACACACACACACACAGAGTGGACCAATCCAGGGGGGATCCTTACTAGACCCTATTTATCTAGTGACTCCAGTACAGTTTACGTGATCAGTCAATACTGACCCTTGAGGCTGGCTGATGTCCTAAACTTTACTGCCATCAGCTCTAGGCATAGAGTGCTTTCTCCCTTATAACTATCCCATATGTGCAAATACATTTGATTGATTTGAAGAAGAAAACAACCAGACTGGTAAGTGCAGTTTTGCATACATGCTCTTTTGTTCTGCACAGTAGCTTATCCCCCAAACAATTTAAAACAAGCTAGGAAAAAATGCCTTGAAATTCAGCAGGAGGTCAGTTCTGGCAGGTGCTAAAGGGACACAGACAATCCTGTCCTCGCAATAAATCTCAGCCTCGTCGGGAAAAAGCAAGGCTCGACAAGCATTTCTGGATTTGTTGCATTCACCACGTTTTCTTTGGTGGCACTGGGCATCAAACTTGGAGCTCTGCATGTGGCAGGCAAGTGCTCTGCCCCAGCCACGCTCCAGCCCTTTTTAGTTTTCTTTTGGCGACAGGGTGCCAGGAAGGTGCTCGGGCTGGGCTAGAACTCAGCCTCCTGCATCGGCCTCCTGAGAGCTGGCCTGCAGGTTTGTGCCACCACACCTCGCCCTTCTTTTTGAACAGCCCAAAACTGAAAGGTGCAATTTGTTAAATAAAAGTCACAGAGACATGTTGAAAAAAATAAAGTAAATGAAAATGATTACTTTTTTTTCTTTCCTCATATTGCATCAAATATAGCTGTGAGCATGAAATGTGACCTGGTATTAAAGATTATTTTGGCTGATTTCAGGACAATGATCATATAGTTATTGATTACAAAGTTACGTCCTCAGGAAGGTGCATTAGTATGGAAGCGCTGTATTGACAGGTGAGATGTGCTGTGCTCCTGCGCTGTGACCACGTGGCTCGCGCGGGCGTCACTCTACTGATGTTGGTGCAGGAAAGTGTTTATATACATTGGAATATTAAAAGCAGGATAAGCCTTGTACAATCTTTTACAAGCTTGTAAGTTTTGTTGAAATTATATAATTTTTCTTTTAACAACTTTATTGTATCATTTTCTAACAGTATTTCCGGCGAAAGAAATAACAAAATAAGGAGTGACACAAATAGGTCCAGAGGGTTTAAAACGATGACTTCCGGACACCTTCACTGAGTTATAAAATTGTTAGTCTTAGCTTTAAAAAAGAGAGAGAAGCGCAGGCCTGAGCTTGTACAGACTCAGCAGCTGCCCAGCCCCCCGCCCCCAGCGCACTCGGGGGGCGCACGCCTTGCTCACTATTGCGTTTCTGTACCCACCCCAGTGCCTGCAGTGTAAGACAAGCAAGGGAAAAGCAAGCGCAGGCTTCTGCTGGAGCACCACACGCAGCAGCAGCCTTCTTTTGAAGTCTGAGAAAGCAGTTAGTTTTTGGTCCTAAATCTAAGGACAAACACAAGACAGAACATTTTGAGCCTGGCACAGAACCTTAGCCTAGTGTCACAGCCTCGCTGAGGCTGAAGCAGGAGGCTCCCTTGAGCCCAGGAGTTCGAGAACTAGCCCATGCCCTGCTGTGGGACCCCAGCACAAACGATAAACAAACCGCTCCAAGTTGTGTTCGATACAGATAAATGCTACGCACTGATTGACATCAAAATTAGAATTATTTTGGTGAAGGTGGAATTCTATCACCCTACCTCTGGGCCAATAACATTTTTATGTACTTCTGGATTTTTTTTTTTTTTTTTTTTTAGCTACCAGGGATTGAATTTAGGACCTTGCACTTGCCAGGCAAGCATTTATTCCAATAAGCTATCTCCCCAGCCCCTGTACTTCTTAAGTATTTAATTTTGTTTTTAGTTTTTCCACTATGATCTAAGTATGTGCCACTCTGTATCCTTTCTTCCTTATTTTCTTCATAGAACATAATCCTACCCAGAATTATGTGCTTTATGTCATTGTTCACTAGTTTAGTTTCCAGTTAAGGACTGTCCTGTTCACCCTCACCACCCCATGACATGAAGCCCTCCATGCCTGTGGGGGATGCAACTTGTACAGCATCATTCCTACCAAAGAACACCCAGTGGAAAAAATGAAATGTTCATGAAATATGTGTGAAAAGAAATTAGTACAAAAATTTAGGGATGGGGAGATAGCTTAGCGCTCTAAGCGCCTACCTGGCAAGCGCAAGGACCCGGGTTTAATCCCTGGTACCGAATGCTGTGACAGCCCTGAACTCTGGGCCTGCCATGCTGGCCCTGAGACCGGGCATGGTGGTGCATGTCTGTCGTCCCTGCTCTGGGGAGGCTGAGACAGGAGGATCACTATGAATCTGAGTTGCATAGTGAGACCCTATACCAAATAAATAAATAAAAGATTAAAAAGAAAAGGATAGATTTTATTTTTGTTCTGTCAAAGCAAGATAGATGAAGAATTTTGAAAAAAAAAACCTTTATAAATAAAAGAAGTACAACTTCACCTCTTAATTAAGTAGTTCCTCTGCATAATCAAATGCCTGTCAGCACTACATGCGGAAGGAAGCCCAGCGCCCTCCCCTACTTCACCTGCGGGCTGGCAGCCATGATTGTGTAATTCCCATCATCGTCCAGGGTGGAGGCCGCCATGTGGAGCGCGCAGGTCCCATCGAGATCTCTTTGGATGGTGTAGTGATCACTCTTCGGAGAGATCTGCTTGCCATCTTTAAACCAGTAGATCTGTAGAAGGAGGAGAAGATTCAAGATAAGAGTGTCCTCTTCCTCTAGTTGGAGGGTTGATAATAACAGTGTGATCTGCTGAGCTGATCTGAGTTTTCATATTGAAATGTTAATCAAACACCTGAAGAGGAAACCGATTTGAATGAGAAAAGAGGATAGCAAATGAGTTTCTTTTTTAGTTTGAAAAACTCATATATCATTTTTTTTGTTTTAAAAAATATGTGCAATATATGTGTGTATATATGTAGTTTTTAAAAATATAGTTCTTACATTCATTTATTATTTATAGGAAGTTTATGTGGGGAATTTTGGCAGTGATTATTTCTATGACGTACCACTAGATTATTTCTTTTTTCAAATGTACCGTTAAGTACAATGTGTTACTTTTAAGAAAAGATGGAAAAGGTTGTTTTAGAGAACAAAAACAAACCCCAGAATCCAATCATTCTACTAAATTGTGTTGGATGAATTTGAAAAAGAATATACCCTGGAGGGAGGGAATAAGTCGAGCAAGGTCCATAATGGCTGGAATGCTATGCTTCAATTCTGGGCCAAGAAGCCCACGACCAAAGGTTGAAAGCTTGTCAGCAAAGAAAACGGCATTATTGAAAAGCAAAATTCTGGTTAGAAAGAATAATCAAACCTTGTGATATGAGGAAGGACTAGGCTGGCGATAGCGAACCTTTTAGAGCTTCCAGTGACACAAACCGTGCTTGTGTGTCATAGGGTCACCACCACTGGACCAGGCTGACCTGGATGAGGGTCGTGTCCTAGCCTGGCACATCAGTAAATGGGATTATGCCTTTCCCCAATTTAAGAATAAAAAGGGTGAGAAGTTGAAACCCCAAGTTGACACTATTACATGACATTGAACCTAAAGCAGAAAAGATAATACGAAGTTTGGTCCTGGGGGATTAAAATCTCTAGCTTCCTTTCAGAAGCACACGAAAGGTCTCCACATGGGGCACTTTCACAGGTAGTAGATGCTCCTGTACATTAGTTCTACCATCAAAACCTAGCAAACCATGCGAGGGAATGAACAGCAAGGACAGTCAGTAGCTCAAGAAAGGAGAAACGAGAGGCCATGCGCTATACATAGCGGACAATTGCAAGAGACTCAAAAGTAACTACTTCAAGTGACTTAACTTTAAAGGATCAAAAACTATAATGACAGGATGGTATATACATGCAATTTTGGAAAAGAAGTATATAATGAGGAATTTACTAAAACTATAAGATTAACAGTGACATCAAAGAAATGAGCATAGTAAAGTGGAAGAGTGGGAAGGGATGTCGTAAAATTTGACACCTTTGGGTTCTGTACTGGGAATTAAACTCACCACCTCACACTTGCCAGGCAGGTGCTGTGCCGCTGAGCTGTATCATTGGCTTTATGTGTTGTTTTAGTCTCACAATCAGGTTAGTATTAAAAACTAAATTCCAACCACCGAGTCAGAGAAAAACAGATCAAAGAAAATGGCCTTAAAATTTTAAACTCATATCCACTTTCTAATAAAATGAGACTTTAAAAAAATAAACTCTGATGTTATAAAAAGCCTTTTAAACATATTCTTCACATAATTTGAATTTCCCTGGTTGTAAGTATAGGAAGCCTTGGTTTTGTAGACTAAAGACCTGACTTTCCGTCACCAGTGGAGACTGTTACTTCTTGTATGGTACAAGGCACTGGCTGGATTCACATCCAGGTCTGGTTGTGAACTCTGACCTCGGGAAAGAGTCATTTGCAACTTGAGAGTAATAGGAGGTGCAGATGATGCAGGTGTGGGAAGAGCTTCTTGTTCCTTACTTGTTGCTCTTCTGTTATACTCCTCACACCTCAACTCCATGCCCCCTGCTCCCCCGCTTTGTTCCTTTCTTTCTCACTCCATTCCCCCCTGAGAACTGAACCGAGAGCCTGGAGCATGCAAAATGGGAGCTCCACCCCCAAGCTACACCCTGTCTTGCTGGTGTTGGTTTCTGGTTTCTCCTGAGGCAGCCCTGAATCTAAGAGCACTTTAAAAATTTTACATCCTGAATGCTACGAGAGCGAGAGAGTATCTCTTCTTTCTACATATCCGCTATTGCTCAGAACCCAACTTGTCCTTGAAGAGTGTGGCTCTTGCTGTAGCTAGGGCACAACTCTGTAGAGCATTTGCTTGGTCCTCAACAGAAAGTTCAGCCGTGAGACCTCTGGGAGGGACTGGATTCTGGGGCCTGTGTCTCATTACTGGATTAACCTATTCATGGATTTCTGTGGCTACTGGGTTATTTTAAGAGTAATTTTTAGTATAAAAGTGAGCTCTCATACACTGGTTTTGTCTTGCCATGTAATATACTTCTGCTGTCATGAGTGGGAGGAACACCAGGTTCCTGCTTATGCTACGCTCTTGGGATTCCCAGCCTCCAGGACCATAAGCCATCCAACTTCCTTCCAATCCAACTTCTTTATAAATTACCCAGCCTCAGGTATTTTGTTACAGCAATGGAAAACAGACAAAGAAAACTCTTAAAACGTCATGTGCGTAGCTTACCTTAGGCTTTGGATTCCCGGCCACTCTACACGTGAAAGTTACAGGCATCCCCTCAAAGATCTTAAAATGCTTCAGCTTCATCTCAAAGAAGGGTGCCACGCTGCTCTCCACAGGCACGTCCCCGTACTGAATGTCATCACCTGACTCGTCCACCAGAGACCTCTCTAGCCTGTACTCTATTTCGCTTATGAGCCTCTGTTCACAGCTGGAGACCTTGTATTCCTGCGTCGAACAGAGGAAGTTCCAGTTAGTGGTCTCACTGCCTTGTAGAATGGTGTCTCCCGAGTCTCACTGCTCTGTCCAGTGAGGCACTGAAAAGCAGGGTGTTTGTACCATACAGCTTCAAAACACAGTCTGAGCCCAGTTCAGTTCCACAGAACACAAAAAAAATCTGGAAGTGGACATATATGATATTTCAAATTTTCTTCAAGCTCTTTCATCCCCCCAAAACCTAAAAAGATGAGCTCCTTGCTTTTCTCTCTCAGGAGAGGGCTGAAGGGGAGAAGCAAAGAAAGAAGCAAGGGCACTTATTCCTAATCCGTTCATGAAAATAAAACCCAGGGGAACACTGCTTTCCTTCGGCAGGGAGAAGCTGATGCGGGGTGGTGGCCTCTGTGGAAGGCTAACGTACATGTGGCAAGCAGCTGTAGTCCTACACAGAACTTTATCAAATGATTAATGGAAAATATGGCACCACTTTTTTTTTTTTTTTTTTTTACACATAACAACACTCTGTCTCCTAGAGGCCCCTCCTTAGCTCTGCTATTAATGATTTACCTTTTTAAAAGCAAAACAGGACTCAGTCTCTAGTCAAAAGTCTGGTTAAAAATATAAAAGCAAGACCAAGACTCCATCAACATGCCGTAGTTTCAGGAGGGCCCTACAGAGTACAATGAGCAGGGCAGCCTGTTACAAAATATTCCCTACTAGTTTTCTCTTCAAGAAATCATACTTTAAGGCCAGCCAGACAGCTCAGCGGACTAAAGTGCCTGCTTGGGCAGAACGCAGCGGCCGGGGTTCTATCCCCAGTGTGCTCTGCTGGCCCTGCCCCTGGGGGACGCTGAGACGGTGAATGAGACTGGGCGTGGTGGCATGTGCCTGTAATCCCATCGTTTGGGAGGCTGAACACAGGAGAATCACTACAAGTCTGATCTAGTAGTGAGACCCTGTAGACCCTTACTAAATACATTTTCAAAAAAAGAAAAAGAAAAACAAAAGAAATCATACTTTAAAAAAGCAATGTGTTAGCTGCGGAGAGAGCTCCGCAGTCTGAGAGAGGTGCAAGGACCCGGCTCCATCCCTGGTACCACAGGCAATGCTGGCCCCACGCCAAGCCGGCCACAGAAAACAGGTGTGGTGGCGCAAGCCTGTAATCCCAGCGCTGGGGAAGCTGAGACAGGAGGATCACTATGAGTCTGAGCTATGTAGTGAGACTCTGTACCAAATACATAAATAAAAGATTAAAAAAAATTTTAAAAGCAATGTGTTTATTGGAAGGCAGAAACGCATGGCACAGACAAAGCTGTCAGCGGTGCACTGCAGGTTCCGGTTTTACTTCCCGCCACACTCCTCTCACTGCCCCACCAGGCTCGAGCCCGTGTAGGTAGCACAGTGGGAACCTGTCTCAAAAAAAAGGGCTGGGGATAAAGCCCAGCGTGGAGTCCCCTGAGCCCAAACCCCAGCACCTCACAGAAAAATCTGAGCGTTCAGAGGATTCCCTACAGTCACAGAAAAATCTGAGCGTTCAGAGGATTCCCTACAGTTACAGAAAAATCTGAGCATTCAGAGGATTCCCTACAGTCAGAAATGAACTGAAGGTCCTAAACAAATGACAAAACATTACAGTAAGTTCTGCTATACAAAACCTGACAGCAATCCGAGCATTTATAGTACGGCAGTACAGGCAACACACGTAAGAATGAGCAGGGGGGGAAACAAAGCAAAAGCAGACACAGGGAGACTTGAAAGAGAATAAGGAAAAAGCTCAACCTTTTGGCCGTCCAGAGGACGCCCTACGGAAGCCTGAGGAGCCCCGACAGCCTGCAACGGTAGAAAGGAAGAAGTGAAGGGCGGTAGCAGAAATCATACACTCTAGCAAGACTTGCAGTTTTCTTTCACAAAATGAAACTTCTGTGGTATTAACATTCAACACGGAGAAACCTTCAGAATTGGAAGGCAGGCCCATTTTTGACAGGCAGGGAAAGACTTGATCCTCTATACTTGCTTTAAACATTTTTGTTTTAAGCTGGAGAATACACCTGGAACTCCAGAGGCAGCCAAGGGTCTTCCTTCACCCACACACATCAGCTCCCGGAGGGGTTTTAATAAGCAAAGAAAAAAAAACAGCATTTCAGTCCTTTGCTGATTAGTGCTTTGTAACTGTACGTGTGAAGGAAGATACAGATCACCAAGGTTTTCTCTATATGGATATTTTCCTTGGCTGGCTATTAAAAACATAATGGGAACTATTTGCTAGTGTATTTCAATCACTGACAGCAAAAATATTTTTCTCCACACAAAATTATTTGGTATTAAAGCACAGAAGAGGGAAAAATAGAAAGCTGGCTGCAAGGAAAGAAAACTGCTCAATAAGATAAAAGAACAGGTGGTGCTGATGGAAATAATTCTATCAATTGCTTCCTGCAGGGTTTCGTACATAGTATTTGTTTAGTACGTATCAACTATGAGGTTGACAGATGATACTAATAAGGCTTTTCTGTGACTTGCTCTTTACTTTCCATAAACCAATCCCAGGAAGAAGAGCAGGGGCCCAGGGGGCAGAGTGGCAGCTATTTGTCCAAGAGGTCCAGAGCAACACGGTACCTGATTGGGTGTCTCTTCTTCTGGCTCCTGCATATTAAAGACAGTCGCGCTGTCGGCACCGAGCAGGCGACGAGCCATTCTCTCTTCGTATGTCAACCTCTAAATTCAGGAAGTCAACAAAAAAACACACGATTAGAAAACAAAAGCAGTTACGTATTGCCTCATGCAAAAGAGTGAGAGAATGAGTTTGGATATTTTCTGCAGCTATTGCCTCTAGCTGCAGACAGCTGAATGCAGCAGGAGTCCACGGAGCCTCTCCCTTCTCTTGCTGCGGTCCTGCTTTTCTCTTCTCCTGGTCTCCCTGGCCTAAGCAGTGCTGGGAGCGAGCTAATCCTGGGAGCCCCTGACCCATACCGCACGACAACACAGAAGACGTGTCATTCTTATGCTTTATGACAACCAGAGGGGGAAAGGGGCAATATTGGGAAAGCAAATATGATAAGGGAAATGTTATTTTCAAAGCCATTTACATGCTCCAGAGCAGTAAAGTCAGCTCTTCCAAGACCATCGGACACAAAAACCAGAAAGCTACTCAAAGGGGAACACACTGATCAGCAAGAATAGAGAACAGGCATTATTGACAAAAGTAATTCTACCAGTCTCCTAACACTGTGCCTGGCACATAGGATGTGATCAATAAATATTACCAAATGGAAGTATTAGACCGACAGTGATGGCTCTTTTTTCTTTTGGGGGGCAAAGGGGCCTGACTTTTAAGAACAGTTACTAAACTACTGTGTACTATTAAGAGAACAGAGGTGAAGATCATAATCCAGAAAGGACTGGCCATGGCTGACTTAGCAACGAGACTGAAGGATTCTGCCAAACCTGCCGTCCACAGCTCATGACTCACAAGCAAGCTGCTCGCCCATCAGGAAGAAAAGGTTCAAGTTTTTGCATCTAGCAACCAACACTCTGGAGCCTGCCAAAACCCATTTGTTGGGCCACTCTTATTCCTTACACCTACAAGCTTCCCGTTCTGTCAGTTGGTAACTCTTGCATTTGAGTGTTGGTTCTAAACAGCCTTCAAATTACAGATCCAGGAAAACATTTCAAAGAACACCTGCCTAATCAGGGGTGTTTTACAAATGGGTTTTAGTAGAAATGGAGAATTAGAGATGCAGAATCTAAAAACGTGAAAAAGTTCCTTGAGATTCACCTCCAAACTTCTGAATATGGACACAAATTCCATTGGAAATTTTCTAATCAGGAAAAAATGCTGGGAAAATTTACAATTTCCAGTAATTCCTGGTTTTCGTCCCAGCTCAAACCGGGAAGTGAAACAAGTCAAGTGCCAAATAGTCCTAAAGTTCAAATTATTTCATTTAATAAAGAAAGGGCGAGGGACAGGAACAGGCAGAGAAAAGCACTGTGTGGCGTGTGGAGGGATTTAATCCAGGATACTAAGGCATAATTTTTTCAGACTGATTTGTAAAAATGAGTGAATTCACTTTTGAATCCTTGCTCTCTTAAAAAGTGTTCCTGCTGTTCCCATGAAGGAGCGGCCCACAATGAATTCCCCTCTGGTCGCACGGCAGAAAACATCAACTTGCTATCTGCTCTTCCACCATAGTGAGCCTGCCATTAGAAGCCAGATTTACTACACAGATATTTTTGTATGCGTGCACAAAAGTCATTTTATTGATTTTCTAATCGAATTTTAATTTCTAATCACATGTTTCTAAAGCAGCATGCCATGTGAAAATACTTGCCCTTGTCTACAGAAGCCAAAAGTAACAGATGAATAGTGTGACATTAGGGTAAAGCTATTTTGTAAAAAGGGGAAATTAATTCTTGTCTGAACTCTCAAATGTGGGAATCTAGGAAACTTATGTGAACATCACTGAGTGCTAAACAAACACATATAAATACACTTAATATGTTTGAATAGAAGCTTGAAGAAGGCTTGTAATGAGAGACTCTGAGCCTATCAGGATCACTTAAGTATACAACCAAGAAGAAGAAGGAGGGAAAAAAAAGAGCTGGAGAGATGCCGCCACCTGGCTTGAAAAAGTTCCCTTATGTATTTGCTTTAATCTTTCAAAGACGCTAGTTGACAGAGCCAGGGAAAACTTCCAGAGTGTGTTCATTTACACATGCAGTCACTTATTTCAGGGAGGAAACATTTTCCTTTTGTGAAGATCTTCTACACCTGGTGAAATGAGTAACGCAACATGCACTCACATTTTAATCTTTCTTAATGACATTTAGATGCCCCAGTATTTAAAATTAGCATTCAACCCCCCTTTCCGTTTGCCACCGTTCCAATCAAACATGGTCTGTTTTCACATTTTTGTTTATCACAGCTTGATAATTAAAATTCCTGGAAGATATAACTTGTACAGAGACCTTTCTGTTCTCAAAGAAGGGGACTGAGGGGCAAGTTTTATATGACAAGTCTTCATATATTAAAATCAAAAACACAAAAGGAAGGAATTGAACACCTCTATTCTTCTGCATAAGAGCCAAACAGATGTTTTTCTGGTAGTGTTCCATGACAAAGCTATGAAAGTCTCTTCTCCTTTGCCTGGTAAATGGTGCTTCCTAGGCTTGCTTCTCCTATTCCCTTGAAGTACTCTGATGGAGGCCGCATGTGGTAGTACACGCTTGTAATCCCTGCGCTTGGGAGGCTGAGGCAGGAGAATCTTTGTGAGTTCGAGACCAGCCTGGGCTACAAAGAGAGCTCAAAGCCAGGTTGAGCTGCATAGCAATACCCTGTCTCAGAACAATGAAACAAAACAAAAAAACTCTAATGTGCTAAAAGCCAGCAAAAAATACAAAAACTGATGAAGAAACGCAAGTCTAGTGAAGATCATGAACATCTTCCACCAGATTTATGTATGTACTGAACAATTCTGCAGCTTTAAAGCATAATCGTTTTCAAGTTTAACAGTCTTGTTCTGACAAAGTACAAGAGTGTGGACAGGCAGTACCCTTTCAGATTACTGAACCAATATGTAGTGCTCCCTGGTAGGATGGGACTAAACTTCAGCAATGGCTCTCTGGCAAAGGTATTTTTGGGGTAGAAGCAGTATATACTATTGAATGAAAATTTTCCTTTGAATACTTCATTCCAATTTACTGCTTTACTCTGAAGTAGTAAAACGATTATACTTTAAAGCTGAAGATTCTAGGGCTTTTCTTTCTCCCTCTTTTCTATGTATACCCACTATGTTTCTTTTCTTTTTTAATGCATTTGGTTGTTACAGGGTCTCATCACACAGGTAGGACTCGTGGTGATCCTCCTGCTTTCAGCCTCCCCAGCTCAGGGATTATAGGTGTGTGCTACTATGCTGGGACTCTGGCTGGTGCAGCCTGCCTCGGGGGTGGGGCTGGCACTGCATGTGGTGCCTGGGATTGAATGGTGGTCCCTGAGCGTGCTTAAGCAGACACTTTAGTCTGCTGGGCTATCTTGCTAGCCCCATAATTCTTATCTTAATAATATGCCTATTACTCTGTGAACTTTCAACTCTAAAACCTGCCCTCCTGTTTTTCTTTATTCCAAAATCACTAAGAGATATGCTGAGGTTCTGGGGGAATGAAATAATAATTCGGTTGACAAATCTCAGGAATCTGAGGCTTAGTTAACTAAAGTGAGAGATCTCTGATGGGAGAAACTGATATTCCAGGTCCACACCCCGAATCGGTCTCAGTACCGGCTGGCCGTTGTTCAGGAGATCCTCCTTGAAGCGAAGTTTCCGTTCCAGGTCTTGAATGACAGCATCCTTTGTGCCCTGGATCTCCTCATCAGAGGCTATCCTCGCAGTTCTACTGGCCTTCTTTGGAAACCCCCTGCAGAACAAAAGCAGGAAGTAGTATGGTCAGTTTGTCAGGCATACAAATCCAAGTCAAACATCTAAGACCAACAAGGGGACAGTACAATGTATCAACACGTCATTCCCACTCCCGTTTTTTCTTTCTAATGCTGCATCTATTACAACTAAAGGAAGACCATCAAATCTGGTTTCAGCAATTTCAGAAGCATTGACTGGAACCAGTTTTCAGAAAAGGTTCAAATGGCCTATAGTCCTATACTGTAGTTCAGGGAGACAGCAATATAAAGTGAAAGTTGATGTGCTTTGTAATCACACCTAAGTTTAAAATCTGATTCTACCTTGTGTTAGATTTGTGAGCTTTGGCAATTTCTTAAAACCTCTTATAAAACAGACATAAAAATATTAACATATATAAATAGGAAGAGGATTTCTAAGAAGATATATTTTTCATACTTTTATTTAATGTTCTTATCCTTCATAATTGGACCCATCACACAAAGTCCAGTGTGAAAATTTCCACTTGTGGTGCTGTGTTGATGTTTATAATATTTGGAATTCTGGAGCATCTCAGATGTTGGATTTTCATGTTAGGGTCGCTCACCTTGTGTCTTCCTTTCCCTTCCTCTCTTATATACCCTATCTGATTGAAGCAAGCTAGTGAGTGACTTAACATGAGACGTTTTTTATACTACAGAGCTCTGGAAAGGCTACAGGTCTGGCAACCTGTGAACTTCCTAAACTTCCGCAGCAGCAAGGGCGAGACCTCAGGACCCTTCTTTCCAGGGGCACCGTGTGAGCTGGCTATCATGAGTGTGCCATTCTTGATAGGTGGTGGATTACTATCCCTGGTGCCTTACACAAGTTGCTTCCTGGTTCTCTTCCCTTTTGCTCATAGGTCAGTGAGATCAATGAGAAGTAGACGACTACACAGTGTGAAATACGGAATTTGAGATTACAAAATGCAAAGCACAAAAGAATACATGTGATATTTCTATGTATAAATAAACAGAAGCTACTCTGGCGGTAGTTCTCAATGAGTGTGGACCAACAGCAAAAACACAACCCTAAAGAATCACTAGTTGCAGATCTGTAACGTCACTCCAGACCTACTGAATCAGGACCTCGGGGCTGGTGTGTAGCATGCCAGGTGATACTGACACAAATGGAAGTTTGATCAACAAATTTAGGGAAACATACATACATAGAAATAAAACAAAAACTCACTCAGAAATTCAGTGCACCAATCAGTTTTTGAGGCGAGCAGGGGAGTGTAACTGGGAAACTCACATGGGGGATTTTGGCAGGTGCTAGACAGGAATGAGTTTCACTTCATTAAGCCACACACACACACACACACACACACACTTGTAGCTAAGTTTTCTGATGCCTATCGTGGAAGACATTCTAATTGATATAACCTGCTTTTTCCAATCTGTACCTTTTGGTCATCTGCCTTTGAGATTCAGATTTAGAGCATTTTATTACTAGACACTAAAGAAAGAAATAAAATAGTGTGATCTCTTGTGTTTGTAATGTCCAAGTAGCAGCTAAAACTTTAAATTGTACCTTACTTAATGGGAACTGATATTAACAGAGAACTGGGCAATAAGCCTGAGAAACATTGATAACAAGTCCTAAGAATGACAATTTATAGTATCAGTCTTTAGTACCATGTAGTTGTTGAACACTAACATGCAGTCTGCTAGTTTTCTTGTACCTCCTGATTCTTTTTCAGGGTACGTCATCAGTCTTCAGTTTTATGTTTTCTTGGAAAGGACATCCCGAAGTCTACCCTATTAGTAACATATGTTTGTTTTCTTTGTTTTTGAGACAGGGACTTGGTATGTACATCAGGCTGGCTAAACTCGAGGTGACCCTCCTGCCTCAGCCTCCTACGTGCTGGGATTTCAAGTGTGTGCCACCACATCTGGGTCACTGTTTTCTTTATAGCACCTTTCATGCTTATAATTATGTGTTCCTAAAGGTTCTCTCTCACCATGGTGCTATTGTTAATCAGCAGGCTTGCCAACAGACACTCAAATATTTCTGCGATGAGTGAATGGATGTATAATCTGTCTGCACATCTGACCTCTCTTCTTGCTTTCCTCAGTCAAGAAAACTTGTGCCAGAGCCATATGAAGCCAGATTATATGTAAAAAGTCAGGTTCAGGATATGTAAATATTACAGAAATCTGGAAGTGAAGTGAAGTTCTGTATTGCTTTTGACTACAGCCTCACTTTTGAGAAATGGAAGTTAGGTTTCCAAGCAACCTCAGAGACAGAACTGCAGACAGCCCTCTGCTCCGTCAGACGCTCTTGCCACACACTGCTTTCCATTACCGCCCTTAGCCTGGACGTAACCCAGCTGCACGAGTGTGTGATGGTGACAGAAGGCATCACTGCTGCTGTGGGAAGATGACACTGTGTTCTCAGCCCAAGTGAGAACAACAGGGGTGAGAAGTTGGGTATCGGGCTGAGCAGATCCCATGAGCAGGAACAGCAGAGAGTTGAGGCTCCTGTAAACAGGAACAGCCACAGCCATCAGGATGAATGCAGAGCTATTTACCCCAGAGCAAGCCCTCTAGCTTGGAAGTGCTTTCCAGTGTACCTGACTGTCACTCATTTACCATGGCTCGGGGCTCTGCCACTCAACTATTTTACCATTTCAATAATATGTGGTAATTACTCTCCAATCCAAAGAAAACCCTGATCATTGTGTGTCTTTTAATGAATCAAGTGTCTGGATTCGAGATGACCATACGTAACCCATCTTTTCCACTTCTGTTTAAGAGATTTTCCTTCACTTACAGAACTAAAGGTATTCATATTTTCTTGGTTCTTAATGAAAAAGTAAGAATCAATTAAAATTTTCTAAAACTTCCAGTTATTTTACAAATATTATTGAGCATGTAGCAAGATGGAGTCTTAGGCCAACGCATCGTACAAGTCCTGTGAAGCCTACAAACGTTAGTTGGTTTGTAAGGTGACTCTATCATCCAATAACGTCTGGGCGTTCAATCTATTAGAAACATAAGCTTCATCACTGTGCTCTAAACATTATTATCTCATGTGAGATGGGAAAGAGAACTAAATCCTGAAAGATGGTTCTTCACCATGAGGGGCAGTTAATAATCAGGCTGGGGAGTAAGTGTGGGTGCAGACTGCGCGGTACTAATTCCACATGCAATGGGCATTAAAAATGAAATAGAAACAGTTCTGGCTAGACTGACCGCAGAGGACTGCACCAAAGAGCCAAGTATCTATACACTGGAAGATGAGAGTGCCAACAAGTAGCAAGGGGCGGAGGAAGAGTTCAGAGCCAGCATGGCACAGAGTGACAATTTTTTTTTAAAGCACTTGTGAGCTCCAAGGCTGAGGAAAACAACCTAATGACCATGTTCTTTAGTTTCCGCCTCTGTCTGTGAAATGTGATGTAAATGGCACGTACCTCACAGGACTACTGGGAAGACTGCAGGAGCTAGTGTGGAAAGGCGTCTAGCAAGTGCCTGGCGCAGTGAGAGGGGTCTGCAGGGACCAGCCCACAGCAACCAGCATGGAAGTGAATCACAAGGCAGGGCTGCCCAAGGGAAATGCCATGAATGAGGGGAAGGAGCCGAAAAAGAGGCCAAGAATTCTTGACCCAAATTTCCAAGAATGTGCAAATGACTCCGACTGACTGCTTTTTCAGTGCCTAACTCCATTCTAGGAGCTGGGAATACAACATCAAACAAAACTAAGTAAAGTACACTTAGTAAAACTACATTCTGTGGAGGAGATGGTAGAGAGATAGGAGCAAACAAAAGAATGGAAGGAAGGACCTAGCAGGAGGTAGCAGGTGGCATGAGGTGACCAGTGTGTCAGTAAATATCTATACTAGATAATACAGTGAAACATCTGAGGAGGTGGCATGACAGCTGAGGCTGTGAATGACTAGAAGCTGTTAGTTCTGTAAAGGCCCACAGAGAGAGCTACACAGTTCCCATGGTGAGAATGAGCTGGGCAGGGCCAAGGATGCTACTGCGAAGCAAAGAGGCAAGGAAACATTATTTCTCACATTCACTCTAAAATAAGAAATTTTCTTCAGAGAACATTTTATAAAAAATACTTTAGGAAACCGTTAAACTAAGGATATAATTGGGGGTTCCATGTAAGGTTGGTGTTAGAAATAAAAATCAAGTGTTTGGGAAGGAAAAAGTAAAAGTAAGGAAAGGAAAGTAAGCTTCTGAGGCAAAGCTTGGACAGATGAGTTGGTTTTTCCATAGAACCTGTTGTGTTGGCATTCAACATATGACAGTTGTGGGTTCACAGTGCTAAATGGTACTTGCTTTTGAGAAATGAACAGTGGAAATTCATGAAGAAATAAAATGAGTTATCTGCCGACAAAGAGATTCTCTCTAGGATGGTTTGTACAGTTTTTTTTTTAAAAAAAGTTTATTCCATGTAAATTTTCACCAAAACCTCACAAAAATCCATACTCAGAGGTTGACCTTAACCAGTAAACAACTCTACTGGCCTCCCACACTTCTGCTTCGTGTATACCGGCTCGGCCCAGCTGCGCCAGACACATTACTGATCTGTTTACTCTGGCTTTAACAGTAAGGCACTTGCCATTTAAAAATAATATTCATGTGGTTGGATAAAAAAAACACACACACATGCATCTGGAAGCAAAACCATCCACATCTGACCACTTCCAAATCCCAGGAGGTTATATTTTAAAATTTTTGGCTAATAAATAATCTTGAATAATCCTTCCCTTGATGTATTATTCCAGGTCAATTCTGTCAGAATATTTCAGAAACTCAGATATCTAGAGTACAACCTTGATTTAGGAGAGCAGGCGGTGTGTAGCAAGCAGAGACTTTAAAAACTGCTCACGGTCCTCTTTTTTTTTTTTTAAATTTTATTCATTTATTTGTGTGTGTGTGTGTGTGTGTGTGTGTGTGTGTGTGTGGCCAGCTCAGTCCACTAGGGGGCGCGGCTGGCTGGCATGTGGTGCTGGGGGATTGAACCGTG